CATTACGGTTGTTGTTATTGTTAAGAATTACTTTGTGATGGTGACCTTTACTCCATGTATGAAGGTGCATTACTATGACATCCCCACGCTGTGTACGTAAATGTATGCGCTCACAGTGTTGCTCCTGTGGTCTTCAGTATGTAATTTGACACTCCCCCTCTCTCTCTCCTCCCCCCCCTCTCTCTGTCCCCCCTCTCTCTGTCCCCCCCCTCTCCCCCGACCTCTTTCTGCCCCTCCAGTTTTGTACACCTAGAAACGCCACTGCACATATGTGATATATCTGAACAACAAAGTGGTCAAAAATCATTTTATTCATTTGTTGGAAACATTTTCATGATCGCTTTTTTCGTTTTACATTTACATTTATTGTCATTTCCATTCAGTCAGTCATTAAGTGCTATTAAAATGTTAATGTGCTACATATCCAAACAAACAAACAAACAAACAAACAAACAAAGTGTGCAATCCAATGAATGTTAATCTAACTGGGTTTTGATAGATAACATATCTCTTTTTCTTCTCTCAATTATTGTATTTATTTTGTGCACTCTAATAAATATTAATCAAATTATTGTTCGTTTATACATTTTAAGAATGGCGTTTATCTTTTTTGAGAATTAGTTATTATTTTATTTTATTTATTGGGATCTACAACAGATGATACAAATGTTTGTGTCAGTAAATGTGTACTAACAGAGGCGGGGGTGTGTGTGGAAATAACGGGGACAGAGCTGGCTGCTGTCAGACGATCAGCTGTGCAGCGTCATCACAAACGGACGTCGCTTCACGTGACGCTCCGGAGGAAAGGACGTCCCATTGCTCTTAAAACTCATTTCCCTGCTTCTCGTGGTTTCCTTGCGTCCCTCCATGTTTCCCTGGTGGGAGGGACTAAACGCAGGGAAACGACGCAAGTGAGGGAAGCAAGGATTTCATTTAATCGACCTGAGAAGCAGCCAGAGAAAATGGCTAAAAAAACTTTACAGTCGCCGACTTCGCTAGAGATTTTTTTCGCTAGCAGCAGTGAAGATACTAGGCTTGTTTGAGACAAGTAAGACCTGCGCAGACCTGCGCAGTTGCGATCAACGTCTTGCTAGTGCGTTGCATGATGGTTAGTCATTTTGTCCGACTTGCTCTGGAGGCCCGCCCACATGAGACTTTGACATTTCGCGGGACAAAGACGCCCGCAGCCTTGAGAGCGAGGCGAGGCGAGTTGGCGCAGTTGCTCTCCACGGGCTGCGGAAGCGAAATGCTTGATGGGAAACGGCTCGCTGGTATCTCGAGCTGAGCGCTCATTGGTGGTTTTTACCACGTGCTTCTGATGAAACTCTCCAATTGGCTGGCAAAATGTTGTTGTTGTTTTGTGTCAGTTTTACGTCGCCACATCCATTCCCATTTTTCATCATTGTTCCACAATGTTTATCATCATGAAATTAATATCTATATATTTTATACTATACTGCTTACCGTTTTCATACTTTATATATCTTAGCATATTCATACACACTGCTCTCAGGCTGCTGTGTATATATAGTGTATTCATACCCCTCACTGTTTATTCATCATTCAATTCATTCTATATTTTATTCTAGATTGTGTACATTACTTTTCACTTTACTGCTTGTTGCACCTGGTTAGAAGCTAAACTGCATTTCGTTGTCTCAGTACCTGTAATATGTGCAATAACAATAAAGTTGAATCTAATCTGGAGCAGGAACAAATGTATTTATTTAGTACATATCTGACATTAACGATTAAACACATGTGTGCATTCTTTATAAATGCAAACCGAGTCAAGCCGACTCCGGAGGTGGCGGTATGCACCTTAAAGTTGTTTGCAATCCGCCAAAAAACCGAGAGAAGAAGAAGAAGACGAAGCCGACTCCGAGCATGGACTCCGAGCTGTCCGACTTCAGGCGAGCTTTTTGAGACCTCCCCCGGCTGCGATCGGCTTTTCTCGTCTACTTTCGAGGCGAGCCGCAACGCGTCTCAAACAAGCCTAGAGCCTCAGAACCTGAAGTCTTCGACTCTTCTGAAGAAGAAGAATACAAAGATAACAACAAGGATCCATTTGGACATAGGTAAGTGTAAATATTACAGTAATAGTGTACTGGCAATGTGTGGGGAATACCGCGAAAATGAACAATAGGTTTATTGATATATATTTTTTATTGATAGTCATGAACTTTTTATTGGGACAAAATAGACTCTCCATTATCAAACGTTTACTCTGTGTTAACGTTATTTTGGTGTGTAAAAGTGAGATTACATGTGTAGATGATTAAATTAATCATTTATTCGTCCCACAACGGAGACATTTACAGTGACATGTTTTTGCCATCGATTATTTTTATCATACTGTTCTGTACGGATGAGACTTTGTCATAGATTTATTTATATGTGTGCCTGTTATTATTTTACCGTCCTGTACAGATGAGACTTTGTAATCAGATGTAGCCTATGTGTGTCTGTGATTTTGTACTGAATGTAAAGTAACTGGAAATACCAGTGTGTGTGTGTGTGTAACATTTTACTTGAACTTTATTTCAATGAAATTAGTTGTAATTATTGTCCTACATTTTAATTTGTTTTACAGAGATGTTTCACAGCTGCCTGGGCCTAGTGGCCCACAGGCGGCGTTTATCCAGCAGCCACAACATCCATCTGTGCCGGCCCCCAGGTCAAGATCTACTGTGGCTCAAGGGCCTTCACCAGAGCCATCACCACCAAGGACCAGCAGACCAGCATCACTACAGCTGCCTCCACCTCCATCTGCGGCTGCCACCAGGTCAAGATACACCTCAGCACAAAGGCTCCACCACAGCCATCACCTTCAACCCAGCCAGCAAGGAGGTCTCGTGGAGGTCTCGTATAGCACTTGTACACCCCACCTACACAGCAGCCCATGCACCATCACCCCCACCTACAGTACACAGCAGCCAGACCCACTGTCTTGGAAGACAGACAAAGACCTTGACACTGTCTTCACATTATAATGAATAGTTGGTTGAAAGTTCTGATGTTCAATATTGTAAATAGTTAGATTTTCCAGTTTCTTATATTTATATAAATAGTTGGTTGAAAAAAACATATTTATAATAAATTGTTGGTTGAAAAAAAAAGGTTGAATCCTCAATTTGTATTTGTACACATCACATGAACCTTGGTATGTCATATGAAGTCATTATTCAGTCTTAATGTATCTCAGTCCCTGCTGTGGTGAAAGTAGAGTGATAAACACCTATTTTACTCAAAATTCGAATTTAATTTTTTTTATTTTAGACATGAATAACACATTTTTTATACAGTGTAATTCAAATATTTCACTGCTTTTGTGATCCTAGGACTTTGGTAACCAAATCTAAAACACCAAAACAATTCGATCACATGAGTAAATTTGTGTTTTCACAAGAGTTTTGAAGATTTTCAGAAAATCGGATGTCACATTTTAAGCTTTTTAGCTACTTATCTCATCAAACAGTGCTCTAAGGTGAGTAATATACATATATAGCATATATACCCGCCCCTTTCATGTGAACGCACACTCAGACGGACAGAGAAACCCTGGCTTGAGTTACCGAGTTGATATCCAGCGTCGTAGGACCGCTTAGCGAGATTGCGTTTGTTTTGGGTTAGTTAAGCCAGATAACTCACACATATCCAGGGTATGTTGAACTGGATTTGTAGTACAGGCCTCTGGTAATCATTAGTGTGCATCAGTAAACCCTGCCCATGTTTAATCAATTTGGTGAAGATGTTTCTTCATATGCATGTGTTTTGGTGCATTTGTGTTTTTTATTTTGCATCAAATGGAAGCTTTTTGGGCCATTGTAGCACGTATGTTAACATATGTTAAATCGTTTGTTAGTGGGGACATTTTTGGTAAATGTATGATCTCTGAACAAATTTACATTTTTAGAAGTAAACTTAAATCATTGACATGTATTGCTGGCATGTGACTTATCTGTTATTATTTCAAACCACTTTCCCATTTAGATGTTTATCTTTTATTTTTACAATTACACTTTTTCTAGACCGAACACATTTTCTTCTTTGGGATGCGCAGTAGAACTTATTATAAGAGTAGAAGTTATTGTTATCTTGCAAATATATGTTTACATGCATCTCAAACTTTTTGTCTTTTTTAGCACTTCTACTTTTAAGAGCTTTTCATGCTTCTCACTGCAAACTGGGTCAAATCTGAGTGTGAGCTCTGCAAATGTGTTGCTGCCTGTATTGTGAAATGTGCGCTTACACTCCTGGTGTACGGGAGCTCAATTAAACAAAGGATGGTCATCCCTGGAATATGCATTGTTTACTTTTTTCCACGTTTCCTCAAATTGATTTTCCTGCTGTCTCATGGAAAAAGAGATTATGTCCATAATAAATATTTAATGGATTGTATCATACGGGTTGTCAAGAGATGGGATGTCCGGTTTGAGCCATGTTCTATTTTCTTTTTGCAGCTACAGTCGATAAGTGTTTAGTTTAGAAGTTTTTGGTTTTTGATTTGATTTATTTTGAATGTGTAAAACAATAATACAAACATTGAGAATTATTATACAATACAAAATTAAGCTGTGTCAAATTGATATACAAAAATATTACTGATTCTAAATGATATATAAACAAATGATCTACTTAATTACACATCCGAAAAGGGGTGGGAAAAAGTGTACACGTATTTAATCCCACCCCTTCTCCCAAAACCTAAATGATTAACATATATATTATTTTTTTTTCTCAAAGAAATACATTTGTAATTGAAAAAGAAAGAAACAAAACATAAAACAACAAATAAATAAACAGATACATAAAAGAGGTAAATGGTAATCAAGAAAAGATAAAATAACAAACCAAATAAATAAATAAACAAACAAACTGTAAACACCCAGTTATGATTAAACAATTTCATCCCTTGTATCTTGGTGAAATTAATGTAAGATTTAAAACCTTTTAAGTTTGGTTTTCATGTGTGTTGTCATTGTGTTATTTTCCCACAGGGATTGCATTTGGCTATATAATGGATTACTACGTGGAACTGACAGACATGGACAAACTGTACATCGCCTTTCCAGGAAACGTCCTCATGAGGATGCTGCAGCTGGTGGCGGTTCCTCTCATCGTGACCAGCGTCATTTCAGGTGAGGATGATTCAAGATTCAAAGGTTTTAATGTCATATGAACATAAGCATAATGGCAATGGAATTCTTCTGACCCGAGCTCCTCCAACGATGCATACGTATATAATAAAATACAAATAAAAAATAGTGCAAGAAGTCTATATACTAGTAAATAGAATATATATAGAGATATACTATAGATATATACAAGAACAGAATGTACAATTAATATATATATAAAATATAGTTTTTAGAATTTTTTTATCTTTTTTAAAAAGAAATACTAATTAAATTAGTATTAGTAAATTCCTTGTAACGACTTTGCAATAAACCCGATTTGCATTCTATAATGTTTTAAATGAATTATTTTTCCCCAGGAGTGTCTGGCCTGAGTGTTCACGTCTCCGGTCAGATCGCTCTGCGTGCGGCCGTGTACTTTGTCGGGACGACAATCATTGCTGTGAGCATAGGTAAGAGATTGTGAAATTAAATTACATTTTTTAAAGTGCACATTCCTGTAGACAGTGATATACATATTGAACAGATATAACTTAAAAACATTTAAATCCTGAAGTCCCTTTTGTGTTTTACTTGTATTTGTGTGATTATACTTTTTTTATTTACTCCTGTTTATTGATAACCACCAGGAAGTAATATTTCGTACATTTTTATTAAAGGAATTACAAATGTTTAGACTAAAAAAGGACATTATTGATCCATGTGTGTTTTGGTTTAATATTCATGTTCTATTACTTTTCATGGTATTATTACTAGAAAAGGCTTTCACAGATCAAAAAATACTCTTAATAATGTACCAGTTGAGTTTTTAATTTATTTGTATACTGTGTCAACAACGTTGTGACTTAAAGGGGACATATCATGCAAAATGCACCTTTGTACGTCTTTTATACATGAATAAGTGTCCCCGGTGTGTTAGGGAACTCACCAAGTGTCAGAAAAAAGAACCCTCTCTCTTTTCCTCCATACCAAAAATCTCTAAAAATGGGGCTTTAACGGATCTGATACAGACTGATACAGATTTAAAAATAGTCTGACGTCAGTGACGAGGAGCTCCGCCTATATGGCCAACTCTCCACCAATCAGGGGAATGAGAGGTTGCCGTGGCATGGTAACAGCATGGTAACATGATGCTCGTAACTCGGCCCCCTCCTTTTTAGGGGGGCGTGGTCAGCTGCATCGCATGCAAAGGAGGGGGTGGAGGAGTGCAAAATAGAGCGAAATGAGGCATGGCTAAAATGCATGATCTGTTTGGTATTTTGAAAAAGAAAACGTATAAATATACCTTATATAGGTATGGCCCTACAATATATTATTCAAATAGAGCATGATAGGTCTCCTTTAAACCTGTTTAAATATCATCATGCCTAAATTTGAATTTGTGCTGCAGGGTTATTCTTGGTGCTGACGGTCCAGCCTGGAGCCGCCTACACTGTCGAGAAGGAGGAGACAGAGCAGGAAACTTTCTCCACCATCGACGCCTTGCTGGATCTTGTGAGGTGAGAAAAAAGCGACATTATATCTGACGTTCTAGCATTTAAAAGATAATTGATGTTTTCATGCATCAATTTCATCATGGCAGGGAATAATGTTTGACTATTCTGCGTGTTATCCCTTAAATGGGCTAGCCTATCGCATATCACACATATTTTGGAAAGTCATGCATTGCTATTTTCTATATTACACCCATAATATACTGTTATTACACCCATATTACACATGAATACAACCCTATTACACCGTAATTGTACCCATACTACTCCAATATTACACCTATGTAACAGTTACAACATTTGTACACCCTTATTACAACTGCATTGCACCCACAATACTGTATATACCAGTGTAACATGGTTATTACACCCATGTAACACCATTGCTGGTATTACACTGTAGTTACATGGTTACTACACCAATTTAACACATGGACACAGCCTGTTAAATGACTCTTTCCCCAAGGATACAGAAACCATTTAAGGGTTAAATATGGATTGATTCAAGAAAAGCCAGTAGGATGTAGTATACAATGCATTTTAAGTTACAGTTACACCTTTTCCTTTCAACGAGAACACCTGCTTTCAGGCTCTGCCCACCAAGAATAACATTGTAGAAAAATGACTGTCATGGTCTTCTTGCATTTTAAGGGTTGTAAGACCGCTTTTAAATAAACATACAGTTTGTATGGTTCTCACCATTGTATTAGTTTCTATAAATCAAAACAAATTAAATTGTTATTTCAAGTTTGGATTTTTTTTCAAGATATCTGAACACATGCTTCTATATACACTGAACAAAAATATAAACGCAACACTTTTGTTTTTGCTCCCATTTTTCATGAGATGAACTCAAAGATCTAAAACATTTTCTATATACACAAAATAACCATTTCTCTCAAATATTGTTCACAAATCTGAAAAATTCTGTGATAGTGAGCACTTCTCCTTTGCCGAGATAATCCATCCCACCTCACAGGTGTGGCATATCAAGATGCTGATTAGACAGCATGATTATTGTACAGGTGTGCCTTAGGCTGGCCACAATAAAAGGTCACTCTGAAACGTGCATTTCTGCTTTATTGGGGGGGTCTGAAAACCAGTCAGTATCTGGTGTGAGGGGTAGGATTAGGGTTAGGGTAATGTTGTGAATCGAGTGGCCTGTGTTCGTCGTCCATAACATACGCCTGCCCATACCATAACCCCACCACCACCATGGGCCACTCAATTCACAACATTACCCTACCCCTAACCCTACCCCTACCCCTCACACCAGATACTGACTGGTTTTCGGACCCCCCCAATAAAGCAAAAATGCACGTTTCAGAGTGGCCTTTTATTGTGGCCAGCCTAAGGCACACCTGTGCAATAATCATGCTGTCTTCAGATTTGTGAACAATATTTGAGAGAAATGGTTATTTTGTGTATAGAGAAAATGTTTTAGATCTTTGAGTTCATCTCATGAAAAATGGGAACAAAAACAAAAGTGTTGCGTTTATATTTTTGTTCAGTGTAGAATAGAACAGCCTCGTCTTGTATTTGAAAAGGTATATGCAGTTAAAACCACCAAAGAGCTCATAGCTCATAAAATAAGAAGAAAACACTGATTTTTTTATTGAGAAAAAAAGAAAAAAAAAGAAGAAATGTAAGTACATAAAAAGTACTATCATTATTGACACCATAGGGAGTCCCAAATCATTAATTTATCAGCTGGTTAATTAAGTGTTACAAGCAGGAATATGCACAAAACATTGATTATTCCTTTTTTATTTCTAGAAACCTGTTGCCAAAGAGTATCATCCAGGCTTGCTACGAGCAGGTGTGTTTCTTTTTTCTTTCAGATATAATACGCCATCCATTTCTTGGCTTTCCTGTGAAGTGTAACATTTTCTTTTCTTTTCTCAGTACAAGACCAAGAAGCTGCAGTTTGTAGTTCACACAATGGAGCCGAACTCTAGCGTGCAAACGGTATATTGTTTTCCCTCAACACTGTAAAGATTATTTTGGATGATATACACAGTTTCTTTTGCTGTTTTACCACTTCTTGTTTCAGAACACTACAATGGTTCGGCTGGAAGGTCACTATGTGGAAGGAGTGAACACGCTGGGCCTGATCACATGCTCCTTCTTCCTCGGAGTGACCCTGAACAAGATGGGGGAGAAAGGAAAGATCTTAGTGGAGTTCTTCACCATTCTCCAAGCAACCACCAAATACATTGTCAACATGGTCTTGTGGTAAAGTGAAGCAGCACACTCCCTAACTAATCCTAACCCTAAAAGCTAAGACTCACATCACTTTACCCGCGCATGTTTGACCGCGGCATCATTTTCTGGCTAAGCTACCATCGTAGCTGCTCAGTCCACACTCACAATAACATCATGCAGACAAAAATATAGCAGCAAATGAATTCGCCGTGCCATAGACCGTCTGTAGTTTGTAGATTTATAAACACAGATTTTTGTCCCAGTTTTGTTTTGGTTCCCTGATTCAATTCCTGGGCCGATTTCCCGTCTATCTGCATATTTGTGAATGCACCTAGCCCTAAACCCTAAACCCTACAGATAAACATTTTTTAGTATACCACCCTTTTAGAAATGTTTTGAAAATCAGGCATTATCTTAAATATGCGTTTGCATAGATTTCCAGAACAGAAATCAGAATTTTGGATAAAGCCAGGTTCAGTAAAATATTTCATTTAAGGGCAATACACATTATTACACATTAAATCAGAGAATACAGCTGTGAAATAAATATACAAATTAAGATATGAATGAAACTGGAAAGGTTGGTGTTTGCGTCTGATGTAGAGATTTTTGGCTTGGAGAATGAGAAAAACAAATCATTTTGAGAAAGTGGCATTTAAAGATATGTATTATAGAATTCCTACGTTTTTCAAGACACTATGATTTTTACAGATGCAAATAGACACATTTAGTCAAATAAACACCTAAATGTATATTCTGTGTGTTTTTCTTTCATATCATCTAAAAGAAGATGTGGTATTGAATAGGGGTGTAACGGTTCACAGAAGTCACGGTTCGGTTCATACCTCGGTTTGGGGGTCACGGTTCGGTACAACAAGGAAAAGCAAAAAAAAGTCCCAAATGCATAATTTTGTTGCTGTTATTTATTTTTAACAGTAGTGCAAGTTTTGGTATGAAAATAAGGAACTCTAACATTTGGAATCATTAACTGTATTACACAGTTACAAACAGACTACAAACAGTAACACACACACACTCAGATGGCCATATTATTTATAATGGCTGATGTCAAACAAAAAGGTTAAATAAGCTATACAACTAAAAAGAATGTCTTGAAAATATTAAAATAAATAATAAGAAAGTGTTTCAATCACAATCAATAAAAGGCAATACAGAACTGTATAACATATCCTGGGGCCTATACTACGAAGCTGGTTCAACCTAACCTGGATATGTTTGAGTTAGCCGGTTGGCCTAATCCAAAACATACGCGCTCTCGCTAAACTGTACTACGACGCTGGTTATCAAGTGGATCGCTCAAGCCAGCCGTGTCCTATCTAGTTAGGTGCGCGTTCACATGAAAGGGGTGGTATTTGGAGCATTCGACCAATCACAGACATGGAGAAGCGCACTGACAGCGCAGCGTCATACTTCCTGAATGAAAAGTGAACTTTAATACTAGTCAAAAATGAAGAAGTTAAACTTTAAACATCCATGACTTAAACACTTTATCCAGGATCAAAGCCACATAGCTGCACCTGCAAGGTGAATACAGCTGGCAAAAGAAAAAGTGTTTGAATGCGTACATTAACAGGTTTATGATATCACTGCTCCGTCTAAAACACGATCTAACTTTAATTACATTTGTCTCGAGTGTTTCGTCAACTTAATGTGTTGCTTAAAATAATACTTCTGCATACAGTATGTGACACTGTGAGTGTTGCAAGGCCAGATACGGCTCAGCTGACTCAGATAAGGAAATATATGATACATTATGAAGTGATATGCCGCGGACTGTACTTAATGTTACTCTGATCCGGTTACTTATGTTGTGGCAGATATTTAAGTAAGCTTTGTTAACGCTAATGTTATAATAGTCAGATTGCTCTGAAGATGGGAGGTGATATTCTATTAATGTTCATGTTCACACAGTCGGTGATTTTTGCCGGCCGTCTTTCCTGCGACAGCAGCTTTTCTGTATTTCCTTTCTCCTGTAATATGACTTGATCCCTTAAACTCCGCACACTGAGCTCTGATTGGTCAGCAGGCAGTGCTTTCACTGAGTTGAGCTCTTAGCCTGCAACCTAACCTGGTCCCGACCAGGTTAGCCGCTAAGCACAAGTTACCATGGAGATCTCGCCTGCTAAAAAGAGAACCAGCTTCGTAGGACCGGAAAGCCGGAGTTTCCCCTGAATTTAGCCGGCTAAGCGAAAATCCTGCTTCGTAGTATACCCCCCTGATGTCAAAATATAAAATAAATACAATGATAAATATATAACAAAATATAATCTGTACCTTTAGGAGCAATGTCTAACATGTGTAATTAACTTGTGAGTGTGTGAGGCCATTATGCCTAAATAAAGGTACTCAAGCTTTACTCTATTTTCAAGTTTTTCTTCAAAAAGATGAGTTTGTCTACGTTGTCAGTAGTGAGGGCAGATCTGTTGGCGGTAACTATGTCACCTGCCGTCGAGAAAATCCTCTCGCTGGGGACTAAGACTGACTCGGATGTGATTGAGCATGTTTGACGTGTTACCACTAGCATACCGCACCGCTGTCGAACAACGCCGACACACCGTCCTCGTCCGATCCACAACTCACACCCCATCATTGTTGTAGTCCACAGGGAACCCGAAATGTTCCCACACACCTGATTTAAAAGAAGCAGGTGGGTCTTCTAGCTCCTGAGTGTTGTGTGGACTCGCCATAGCTACTAACTTTTCTTCTTCATATATTGTGTTCGTTTTGTTGTGTTTTGTGCATGTGCCGAACCGTGACGGTACGGGACGAATACGGATACCGTTACACCCCTAGTATTGAAACAAAATAGCCCAAAATCTCAAAGTTTTTCTTCCCTCTACCCGAATAAAATACACAAGACACAATGTATTGAAGTATTCCGCTCTTTTAATTGTATTTCTTGTATTTCCTCCAGGTACCTGCCATTTGGAGTGCTCTTTATGATTGCGAGCAATGTTGTCGAGGCTCGTGACTGGGAAACCACCCGCAAACTGGGAATGTTCATGGTTATAGTTCTTATTGGGTATATATATATTCTTTTTTCAATAATCTTTGTAGTCAGTCAACACATGCAACAGAATAAACAGTGCCAGTGTAAATAATGACTGAAAAGGCACAAGCAGAAGGATTATGGGTTATCTTTGCCTATTCTTCATTCTCATCAATTGAAGTTACCCCACTAAATAAACATTAGAAAACTAAATAAAAAACAAGTGTTACTCACAAAATAAGCAATGTGCAAAATAATGTAAGACAATAAATTACAACATAGTCAGTCTATATTAAAAAAACAGTTTAGTGTGCTTTTTGTCTCTTTTTTGGCAAACAATTACTAATAAACTAGAGCATCTTTAACCATGATTTTGTGTGGCCAAGGATTTAAGAGGCACTGTATCGTTTTACATGTTATTATCAAGTGTGTTTTACTACAATGTTATCAATTGTATTAGTGTTTCATTACCATTTTAACAATATTGTAATTTCTTAACCTGTTGTTATCATGTGACTATTATAAACATGATAATAATATTGTATTTTTTTATATGTTATCGTCATGTGTCTTTTATCAACATTATATCAATATTGGATTTTTATTGGATGATATGTTTGTATTAGCATGATATCAATGTTATTATCACGTGTGCTTTCTTAACATGATATCAATCTTTCCTTTTTGAAATGTCAGGGTTATCGTCGATCCCCGTACATGGTGACATGGTGTTTGTGTTCAATGTGCACATTGTGCACTTGTGTGTTTCAGCCTCGTCCTCCAGGCCTTCATTGTCCTGCCGACGATTTATTTCCTGGCTGTGAGGCGGAACCCCTTTCAGGTCTACCGCGGGGTTTCAACAGCCTTACTGACCGCGTTGCTCATCTCCTCCAGGTAACAGGACATTCATACCTCTGTGATCCTCACCAGTCATTATTTTAGCATTTATTTTCAAAGCTGCAAAAGAGGATTGTAATTCCATGCTGTGGTGGAATAAGTACTCATTACAATAAAAAAATATATTACAATAAATAGTCCAAAAATTGAAATGTAAGTAAACTATAAAAGCACAAAACTATCAAGGTAGTTTAAAGGAAGGCTCCAGTCATTAGATAGTTAATCAAAACTTCAGTATTTAGTGAAACATTATGTTTAAACCATACCCTGAAGAAATCAGCGATATTCCCCAGTAAATAATGATTTTATAGCTCTTTTTTATCAAAACCTGTATATTCCGTCAGGCAGCTGCCATTTTGGCCATTTTCAGTAGTCACATGATCCGAAAAACTAGGTCGTGACGTCATCTATGCGTTCACTTTGTAAACACACCACGAAAACATGGCGGAGTATTTGAGTTCGGACTCGTCAGCCGAGGAAGAAGTTTAGAAAAATAAAGTCCAGGCGGACTTACTTTGAATTATCACTATAGGTATTCATTCCATCCAAATACAACTGTAAAAAAAAAAAAAAAAACATACTCTGTTATCCTCTTAGGCCCCACGGACCCGGTTCCGGGGCCGAAATCGCGTCATTTGCAGGAAACAACGTCTAAGGAACCTTAATATTTAATAAACTATGAATATTTGATATCCATATAACGGGAAAAAAACTAATTTAACTGATTTTTTTCTTAAAAAAAAACACACAATGCTAATAGTGAGTCTCTGAATTAGCCCCGAGCGAAAAATGCTAACCTATTACTGCACCGAAAATCACTCCTAGCTCCCTTATTACTTATCCTAGCTGCACATCCAACACATCGTTTATGATCATAAAGACACAGAATCTAACGGTGCTCACCTCAACACTGAAAGATACAAACTTGCGACGTTATCAACAAAAACGTACATCAAAACAAGTGGCGCTAGGTACTAACATGCGCTAGGCTAACATGGCTTACCTTGGTCTTTGTCTGGTCTAAACTGGTCTTCAATGGCATTACAACGATAAAAACGATGATGTAGTTAATCCATAGGTTAATATCCAATGTGACTGTGTCCCCTTTGAAATGTTCTGATAATCTATAAGCAATAAAACTGCAATTCCGTTATCTGCTGTCAGCTCTGTGCTCCGTGCGCTCTGGGTCCTGCAATTCCTGCTTCCTTATGTAGTAAACAATAAGTAAAGTCTGCTGCGTAAGGTGCTTACACTGGCTGGCATTGGCAGTGCACTGCATCCCCATTAAGTAATGGTTGATTAATAAATCCCATTTTATGTTTCATCATACTCTCAGAGTAGTCGTCCGGAAACTTGAAATGTTCGCTGCATACATGCGCCTGTGGATCTTTCGGTTCGGGCCGAGCACATTTCGCTAGCCACTGCCTCCGAACGTACTTCCTACGCTTACCCGTTGGCAATAGATGGAACCGAGCATTCCGTGGATTGTTCCTATCCGAATTGTGGCAATGTTTCGCGATACAATGAGGCATATTTCTATAGAATTGAGAGAGTAACTCAAGTAAACAACATGAACAAAGCACATACGTCAATTTGTCCTCGACACCAAACGCATAGTTCACGTCACTTCCGGTAAAATAAGTCATGTGACTCGTCAAAATGGCGCCAACCACAGGGTTGATGTTATTTCGGTAATTAATCAGTTTAAAATCACTGATAACGTCATCGGATAAAAAAAAAAAAAAAAGACTGGCAGAGACTGGTCTGTTTTATCGGATGATAATTATTTAAAAATGTGTGTCATGAGCATTCCCTCCCTTTAAAGGTCTCCTATCATGCAAAATGCACTTTTTGATGTCTTTTATACATACCATATGTGTCCCCTGTGTGTCGGGGAACTCACAAAGTGTCAGAAAACAAAACCTTCTCTCTTTTCCTCCGTACCCAAATCTCTAAAAATGGGGGTACAGATTTGCTGCCGATATGACGTAATATCTTAATAAAGGTTTATCTTCATCTACATATCAGAAATGTGGGCTGGCTTTACGGCCACGGCCCTATCAGAAACGTTGCTATCAGAAACAATGCCCGACGTGTTTTGGACATAATATGGTCTTTGTTTACATTAGTAAGCATCGCTAACACTCAGAGCTAACCTGTACTGGAAAGAGTATGTGTAAAAAAGCAGGATATAAAAAGGCAGTGGCGGTTCTAGACCAATTTGACTCGGGGGGCCAGGCTGGGGCCAGTTATTTTCTGATGGGGGCACAATAAATGCAGGACGAAAAAGGCAAAGACAGTATGAAGTAATTGCGGATAAAAAACCAATGCAATACAGTTATTGGTATTTGTTTCAGTACACATATTTATTTCAGATACAGGGTTCGTACGGGTGCTGGAAATCCTGGAAAATGCTTGAAATTGTACGAGGTGTTTTCAAGGTTTGAAAAGTTTTTGAATTTTGGGAATGGTGCTTGAATTTGGGATAAAGTGCTTGAAATTGTACATGCTTTACTTCGCGTTTTAGATTAAAAGAAAAAGAAAAAAGTCGGAGCGAGCTTAATTGCTTTGCTTTTACATAAAACAGCTCCGCTCCGGCCTTCCCGCGCTATGCGCGTGACCGGCAAGGGTTTTTGTTACGTGTGACCTGGGCATTCTGATGAGAGTGATAGATGACAGTAGTATACCAGGAGGTTGCAGTTTCAACGAGCGTTGGCCAGCAGAAGACAAGCCATGGCTAAGACGAGGATCAAGCCCACGAGTAGCCTCCTGCAAAGTGTGCAAAAAAAAATAACGATGGGAGAGTCTGCGCTGACAAGCCACATGAAAAGTACACCGTAGAGCATTTTAGATTAGGCTAACGGACCGGTGCATGTTACGTTTGTCCCTTCTCTTGCGTTAGGGCATACCCCCCATGCTATTTTCGGTCAAAATTGACCGGTGTGTTTTGCACAGTGATATCTCTGGAACCCCTTATCCAATTTTGATGGTTGACATCTCATTTGAACAGTCAAATCAAGTAGAATCAAGGGATGACAGACACCAGGGGTGAATTTCATATTATTTTTGGCAGTAAGTTCAAAGATAGTGCTTATTTTACATTACTGTATATTATAAAAATGCTTGCCATGTAGGCTGTGTTTACTGGAGATGGAAATGATTTAGTTAGTGTTGTAGCTGAGATTCTTCCCGTTCCAATGATGTATGGGATGTATTGATTTGATACAAGCAAGCCAGTGTTTCATATCATGGTCCGGACCCACCGGTGGGCCTATCAAGTTCAGCATTCACTGTGATGAATATAAAATAAGACACTGATACTGTTTTCTTCAATGAACATTTATTGAAAGAGAAATATACCATAACAGAACGTGTGTGTGTGTGTGTGTGTGTGTGTGTGTGTGTGTGTGTGTGTGTGTGTGTGTGTGTGTGTGTGTGTGTGTGTGTGTGTGTGTGTGTGTGTGTGTGTGTGTGTGTGTGTTCACGCACATAGTTGGCAATGCAAAATTGTGGAATGTCACCTCAGGCTCCTCTCCCTCAGTCAGCCGCCTCTCCCTCAGTCAGGGGCCTCTCCCTCAGTCAGGGGCCTCTCCCTCAGTCAGGGGCCTCTCCCTCAGTCAGGGGCCTCTCCCTCAGGTGCCTCTTCCTGGTCTGTTGTAGGCTCATCGTCTGGATCGCTGTTGTCTTCCATTTCTGAGACATCTTCCTCTATCTCCTCTTCATCTGGTTCAATCTCCTCTTCATCTGGTTCAAAAATGTGTCCAGAGCCCCTCGTACAGAAAATCGTCTAATCGGTCGCCTGCTCATTGTGTCAATGAGTCAAATGTGAGCAAGGCACAAATATAACTGCTTGAGAGCCAGTAAGGGAGGCGCATTTAGTGCGAGAAAGTGAGAGGTTTGTGTTTCTCGAGGGGCACAGAGCTCGCACCTGTGAGAATACATTGATTGTATTATACAGCGCGAGAAAGGGAGAAGTTCCCGTAACGTGTGTGTGTGTGTGTGTATATATAGACGTTTTCCATCTGCAGGATGAACATAATACACTCATACCCATTCATTTTCTATGGCGGTCAAATCTTACCGAAAACATCAAGGGTGTTTCACTGTTGAATAAATCACTCAAAATTCAATGCAAGTGGTGATCATCAAGTGTATATGTTCAGAGGCCTAGTGTGGAGGATAATATATGGTATTGAGGCAATTGGATGAAAAACACAATATTTATGATTAAAATAAAAGTCATTCGGTCACTTTTGACCCGAAACGCAAGAGAAGGGTTAAGCTAACGTTAGCAAGCTGAATAGCGAACTCGATGAGGGATAATAATAATTGCAGGGGACAATCATTTCAGAGGAGCGCACCTATGTTATGTGCGTTACAGTCGCCATCCTGTGGTGTTCAGAGGATGAAGCACTCACTGTTGTAATTCAACCCAGTTTCACGGCATTTCGTGTTATAGTCACGAAATATAATCTATTGATTAGACACAGAGCGATTTTAAAAGCAATGTGTTTCTACTGGTAGTATGTTTCGTGCCTAAACCAAATGTGACTTGTTCTATCGAAATCAGTCACATTGACCCGAAGACACATTTTTGTTTGTATTACTGGTCTGGGGGAAGCTCGCGAGTGTTTGTGTGTATTGTGTTTGTGTACCGGGGAAACACTCACAAGAAACACCGGCTATTGTTATGCCTGCTGTGACGTTAAATTACTCCATTCTCCGCTTGTAATTATGCCGTTACAAGCTTCAAAGTTGTATTTATCATCTGAATTTGCCGAAACAAGTTTAATATTCTGAAAGCCAATACTTTGTTTATTTGAAAACAGATGAAAACAAAAACAAACAAAAGTTATCTATGATTACTATACGCCATTACTTAATAATTTCAGCGGAGGGAGGGGAAGCGGCGCTGCCGAAGAGCAGGGTACGAATTGAGAGGTGCCTCTTTTTCCCTTTACAAGCTTCAAAAATGTATTTATCATGAGATTTGGCAAAAACAGTTTCATATTCTGAAAGCCAAGACTTTGTTTATTTAAAAACACCCGAATCCTGAAAAACTAGTTATTTTACACAAATACACGTTTATTTTTGAGCCATTGCGACTTTTGACTGATTTCGATAGAGCGGGTCACAAATAATAACAAATTAGAAGGAAACAAATATATACAGATTTCAGTATTCTGAGCCCCATTTATTTTCCTCACAGACGGCAAAAAAAGCCAGACATTATACGATTTAAAATAAAAACAATAATCGTGGCTTGATATTGAGTAAGAAAATGTTTTTATGAACCCCACAGCTTCCGGTCTTCCAAGACCCAACCTGATAAAAAGACGCAGGCACGAAACATACTACCAATAGAAATACATTGCTTTTAAAATCGTTCTGTTTGACACAGGAAAAAAAAGGGGAAAAACGTGTTGGTGAACACGAATCAATAGATTACATTTATTTCGTGACAATAACACGAAATGCGGTGAGACTTGGTTGCGTAATTAGACCTTAGCTTGTTAGTATGTTGTTATAAATTATAAACTGAGGATTTGACCGCGTCGCAATGGTTGATACTTTTTGAAACAGGATTTTATATAAAATCTTGAAGTATTATACAAGTAAAACTACATTTTGCTTTAATCCCATGTAATTGTAGAATGAACACAGTCTTCCTTTGAAGATGTATAAATCAGATGTCTTGAGTAGTCAACATTACCTACAAATCATTGTACACATTTGTAAATATTAGTTACCTTTGTGAGTCTATTTTTATGCAGCTCTGCGTGATTTTGTGGCTACAATTCAGGCTAATACGCTACCAGAGGTGGAATAAGTACTCAGATATTGTACTTGAGTAAAAGTAGAAGTACTGTGGGAATTGCCCACAGTATTGAGTATGTACTTCGCTTTGGATAAAAGCGTCTAACAAGTAACATGTAATGTAATGTAGTGAAAGTAGAAGTACTCAGATGTTGTACTTGAGTAAAAGTAGAAGTACTCAGATGTTGTACTTGAGTAAAAGTAGAAGTACTCAGATCTTGTACTTGAGTAAAAGTAGAAGTACCAGAGTGTAGGAATACTCTGTTACAGTAAAAGTCCTGAATTCAAAATGTTCCTCAAGTAAAAGTAGAAAAGTGTTATCATCAAAATATAGTGAAAGTAGCGACAGTAAAAGTAGTCATTGTGCAGATTGGTCCATTTCAGAATACTATATATGATATGTTTTATAATGATTGATCATGAAAGTGTTCTCAAAGCTGGTAAAGGTGCAGCTAGTTTGAATGACTTTGTATACTGCAGGGTAGCTGGTGGATTTACTCCAGGTGGAACTAAAGTCTGATTCAACACTTGACTATATTTCACATCATTCATCCACATCTGTAAAGTAACTAAAGGTATTAAATACATGTAGTGGAGTAAAAGTACACCATTTACCTCTGACTTATGTTTACTGCCAACCTAAAAGTACCTCAAAAATAGTCATCAATAATGTATTGAAAAGTTATTTGGCTGATTGTTTTATATTGGCTCAGCCAGGTTATATGGGAGGTCAAGTCTACGTTCAAATGGGACACTCATTTTGAAATATTAAACTTAGTTTTCTTTTCTTTAATTTTTCGTCCTCATGTAGAATGCGATTATGAAACACACATTTGGTTGTTTAAAGAACATCTGATTTAATGTGAGGTAGGGAAATAATAATTTGAGTATAAGTATGTGCATATAAATATGTAATTTACAACAGCTGTAAGATGCTTGAAAAGCTTGAAAATGCACCTTGAAAATGCTTGAAAAGTGCTTGAATTTGACTTTGGAAAAGGTGTAAGAACCCTGCAGATACTTATATTCACAGTTTTTAGTTTCAGTAACAGAATCATTCCAATGACAGTATTTGTTTCAGCAACTTCGTTACAATTTAACATTCAATTACTCAAAATAAAACGCATTAGGCCTACTGTTAACTTAGCTTAAGTTATAGTAAATGTTTTGCACTAACACCATATCATATTTATATATATATTTATAAATAAAGTCAATGAACAGTTAAATCTCTACTGTACGGGTGTCCGCCTATTCCGTCAGCCAATAAATTGTTTAATCATAAACTTTTCATTTTTAGGGGGGCCACAAGGGGGTTCAGAGTCAGTGTTACATACATAAAAAAACATTTTAATGGCCAAACTATTCTACAATTTAGGATTTTCCAGAGAGGGTTATTTGTGAATATACGACCCTCCGGAGCGTTTGCAATTGCCGCAAATTGTTGTTTCTTTCACGACCACTAGAGGTGCTAAACTTTAAAAACGTGACTATAGTTCGTAATAAGCTGCTGAACAATCGACCTATTTGGTCGTATGAGTTGGAGGACTTGTTGATTGTAACACATAATCACTGATGTTCCGCTGTAACGGTGGTGGTTCTTATTATACATCCATGTGGTGGACTCATTAGAACAGAGTGAGCGTGCTGACCAATCAGAGCACAGTGGGCTCATAGGGGGGCAGGAGCTCCAACAAGCTGTTTAGGACAGAGAGTGAATACATATAGATGCTGTATGAGAAACCAATGTGATTTTGGAACATTGAACAATGTAAATCCATTCTAGTAGACCTCAACAATGGAATTATGATCGGTAGAAATGGCCATGCCATGGCACCTTAGTAATGTACTTTCCACCTCTTTTATGAACTGAAAAGTGTGTGTTGTGTCTTCCAGCTCCGCCACGCTGCCACTCACTCTGCGATGCTGTGTGGAGAAAATCAAAATGGACTACAGGATCGCGCGCTTCATGCTGCCCATTGGGACCAACGTGAACATGGATGGAAGCGCCCTTTACGAGGTGATCGCGGCCCGTTTTCATCGCCCAGCTGAACGACATCCATCTGGACGTCAGCCAGCTTATCACCCTTGCGTAGGGTGGCAGTTATTGAATCTCTCTCTAGATTAAGTATTTTCAAACTTTACAGAACAATGACTGCAGAAGAACCTTTTGTCACAATTGGAATCTGGTTATTGATGTTTATACGTCCACGCAACTAGTTTAGGGTATTGTTGCAAAACCTAAACATAGAAAGAGATAATACAAATATAGAAAGAAAAACATTTATAAAAATAAATATTGAATAGAATAAGGTTGGAATAAAAACATGCGAAAATAAAATATATGCAATATATTTGAATTAAAATGAAAGAGCTGCATGAAAAAAATAAAATACAATAAAAATATTTACAATATATTTAATTTATATGACAGAGCTTTTATAAGTGGCACTTTTTTGTAGAAATATGCAAAACTGTCCAACCAATGTGCAAACGTTCACACTATGAACAATAGAATATTTATATTTATGGGGAACTGGGGGATAAAAAACACTCATTCATGTTACTGTTTCTGCAGAAATCTTCCCATCTTCCAGAGTCCACCACATGTTTATATATATATTACAATTGTACTGTATAGTTTACTTATTTATTGCACCATCATGCTCCTTGCAATATCTTATTTCTTTATTTCCTTTTATGTCTTAAGCTTATGTGTGTTGAATTGTTGCAGGAGCCTGGGACATAAAGTTTCAAATCAAATCAAAGTTTATTTATTTAGCCCAATATCACAAAACACGTTTGTCTCAGTGTGCTTTACAGATTAACAAACATAGATGACGGTGTAAAATATTATTAAAATTACAAGAAAATTATAAAATACATGATAGAACGTGAAACACAAATAAAATAAATTCAAATAAAACGAGATAAAATACATCAAAAGGCAGTACAAATACAATAAAGATAATAAAATAAAATACCATAAAATGTAGTAGGACAAACAAAGGGTATCTCGAACCAGCTCTAACTATAGGCTTTATTGAAAAAGGAAAGTCTTCAACACACTCTTACAATTTTGGAAACGGTCTGCCTCCTTAAACAAACCAGGAAGTTGGTAACAGAGAAAGGGATAAGATTCCTGTTTTCATTTTTTTATCATCAAAAACCCTACTAATCTGTGTGCGAATGTGTTAGAAAAATATCACATGTCACCGGCTTGAGCTTCAATATCAGGATACATGTATTTATTATCCTTGTAAGAATGGAAGTAGTCATCACATTAAGAGCATTTGGTAGAAATAGTTCCCAGAACAGTGCCCTTCACATGCTTGAGAGGGTGTATCAGTCACAAGATGGAGGAATACCGGTTCAAAGCAGTATACAATGTTTAGTATTAGATTAGCTAATACTCACGTCAGAAATGATCATGCTTGTCATATGTCTATCTCCATAGAGGCTGAATCATCATGTTAATCACATAGCTATTATGCCTAAAACAGTCCTGATGCTCTTCACATCCTGTCATGTACACAGCTACGTAGGGCCTTTGTTATCATGTGCTACTCTGATATTGAAAGAGTACATTCAGTATTTTCCCAACAGCATGTCATAAACCCTTTAAATCTCTGTGTGTGTGTTTGCCCTGCAGAGTGATGTCGGCCGTGTCCAGCCTCGGAGCGGCAGGGATCCCCGCCGAAGGAGCGGTGACCACCCTCTTCGTGCTGTCCGCCGTGGGCCTGCCGGTGAGGGAAGCCTCCATGCTGATGGTGGTGGAATGGCTGCTGTAAGTTTATCATGAGTCATACTTTATTCTCCAACGAGCTGCACTACACATCATCCCACCCACAATAGTGTATTTGGAGTATTTACATTTTTTGCTATTTTGCACTTCTATCCCAATATAATTCAGAGGTAAATCGTGTGCTTTTACTCCACAGCATGTCTTTTTTTACCTTTAGTTACTTTGCACATTTTGATTCAGGATTTGAATTATATTCAACACTTTAGTTACACCTGGAGTAACATTAACTCTGAGTCCTTCCCCCATCTCTAATTAAAGTCAGACATGGATTACTGCAGCTGTGTTTTTCTGCTTCTAATAGTCAATTGTATAAGTACGAGGTAATACATCAAACAGTATTATAGTATGGTTCTGCTTTCATAGTTTACTGCAGGGGTGTCAAACTCAATTTCATCGCGGGCCACATTAGCATTATGGTTGCACTCAAAGGGCCGGTTGTAACTATATAAATATACATATATAAATATATAATATATATATATAAAATAATGTATTATATTACATTATTGCCTCTGAATTGGATTATTATCGGATAGGGTAATAACTTCATAATTAACTACGTCTGAAAGCAGATAATTGCAAGTCTCTTCAGTGCCATGTCACAAAACGAGATGCATTGTGGGACATGTAGTTTATGGGCAACGTGCTTCTGAAAAGTGGCATGTAACCGTATAATAAACGTATTATAATCTTTGCAAGCTCTTGCGGGCCACATAAAATTAAGTCGCGGGCCGGATTTGGCCCCCGGGCCTTGAGTTTGACACCCCTGGTTTACTGTGATTCATGTCTTTCAGAGACCGCCTCAACACCGTCGTCAATGTTTTGGGAGACTGCGTTGGCTTGGCGATGATTCACCACCTGTCTGAAAAGGAACTGGCAGTTATGGACCGCGCGCATGAGGAGAGGTGATCATTTTACATGCTGTGTTTTTGCCATTCCCTTTTTTATCACAAATGTGTTTTTTATTAAAGAGTATTTAAAAAAAAAAGCATTTTGTTTTTACATGATGGAGCTTTCCCAACACTACTCTTTTTACGTAAAGCTGTACTAAGTACTGTAAAAGATACAATCAAAATAATAAAAACAACATTTTGACTTAAATGTGCTTATTCTCACATAATATACAGAAATAGGTGTGAAAATAAAATAACAGAATCTCACAAGAATAATACAATTAAAAGGTTGAAAAAATAAATAAATAAAACTACAAAAAGATAAGAGAAAAAACCAGAGCTTTGAAAAAATTAAGGTATAAAATGCAAGTATCTATTAAAAAAAGGACAACATGAAACACTGAGCAGCTGGCCCTTGATCTCTGCTCTGGATATTTCAGATTGAATGTTCAAACAAGGTCAGCCCTTCAATAAATAAATAAATACGTGAATAAATACTGTACAAGGAGCTAAACTGAACATGAACTCTGAAGTGTGTTTGTATCACTAATGGCTGTGTTGTGTTTAGTCTGAACAGGACGGCTGAAGCGGCTGCCGAGGATCACCTGAGCTCCGTGGAATCCCAGTACGCCCTGTCGGAAATAGAATAACTCCAAGAGTTCAGCAGCAGGAACAGGGATGATCCAATGATAACAAGTTGTGATATCTCTCTGAAATTTTGTTTGTGTTTTTTTATTTGGTGAAGCATATTTTGTATTTTGATAAAGTATTAGTCGTAGTAGTTGATTTTTGTCAAAGTAATGTCTTTAATAGCTCATGTTATATGAAGATATTGGTCTGATTTGATCTAATAGGTGTAGTGAATTTGCATTTAATAAAAGTTCTAATACTAATACATCCTTAACTACCATGTGGTATTAGATGTAAAAGTATTTTTTTATTGAACTTATGTAACATGTGGTAAGTGATTTTATATGGATTCAGCATGTTGTTATTGATATAATATATGTGAATAAAATGAATTTTAAACTAATTGGAAGTATATGTATGGATTTAATTGTAAATGAATATGCAAATAAACCATAAATATATATGTATATATAATATATATCAAATGAACTTGTAACATTCCTGTTAATGTAAGAAAACGTTGCTGTGTATTTATGTTTTACTTTTTAATCAGAAGGTATCTCCATTGTTTAAGCTTGAGGCTTCCTGATCTTTCCTTTCAAATGTCCTATTATTTTTGATTATCTGGATGTCATGCAGTCTAATATGCGTGAAATAAATACATAAATGTATAAATAAATAAATAAATACATTGCTATATGATTAAAACCCCTCTCCAAAAGGAGTTGCTCCATCCATGTAGTTCTATCCCCGCCTCCCTCTATTTAAACGCCCCTGTGATTGGTCAACAAACCGTCTAAATAATTCTACACACCAATGGGCGACAAGACTCGTGAACGTCATCACTAGATGCCGGAAGAAAATGTCACATGTGTCAACCAACCTCTAAAGCACTGCTGAATTTGCACCCATCTAGTTGCTTTTAGGTAAATAATGTTTTAAGAAAAGCGTGAGGAAATAAGTCATTAATCGGTGTTGTTTTTTTTAATGACCGTGGCGTATTTATAATGAATACGGTCCATTTGAAGCTCAGGACCTTTACACTTGTGTTTATTAAAGGCAAAGCTCTGTCTGCGGCTGTCACTCGCTGTGAGTTTACTCTCCACCGGACTTTCTTCCAGTTATTCCGCACAATGGCTACGAATTATAGTAACACCCTGGAGACGACGCAGCTGCTGGGACCGAAGAAAGTCAAGCATAAGGAGCCTCTGCGCCGGGTGAAGACCAAAGAGAGCCGGGGCAAACGGGAGGACGTTCACGGACCGGCCATCGTGTACCTGCAGGTGGTCGGGGCTGGGAGCAGAGACAACGCTGCCTCCCTGTATGTGTTCTCCGATTACAACAGGTACTGTACACACTAACATGTCAACAGTTAGCCATGATGTTATTTTGAAACCAGGGCTGTGTAAGCATCCTAAAACAGTAACACATATCTGTAATTACAAAGTGGTACAGAGGTGGGAGAAGTACTAGAGTAGAAATACCAGAGTGTAGAAATACTCTGTTACAAGTTAAAGTCCTGCATTCACCATGTTACTAAAATAAAAGTACACAAGTATTAGCATCAAAATATACTTAAAGTACCGAAAGTAAAAGTACTCATTATGCAGATTGGGCCATTACAGAATAATATGATATGGTTTGAGTATAATGATTTATCATTATAGTGTTATCAAAGCTGTTAAAGGGGCAGCTAGTTTTAATGACTTTGCATACTGCAGCTTGTGAATGTACTCCAGGTGGAACTAAAGTCTGATTTAAGACTTGATTATATTTCACATCATTCATCCAAATCTGCAAAGTAACTAAAGGTATTAAATACATGTAATGGAGTAAAAGTATACAATGTACCTCTGAATTGTACTGGGGTAGAAGTATAAAGGAGCAAACGATTGAAATATACTTTATATATATAAAGTACAAGTACCTCAGAATTGTACCTAAGTAAATCTACTTAGTTACTTTACACCACTGTAATGATCTGAGGTACAAAGTGGTAAAGGGTATATTAAGGTGCTGACAGTAAACACACAAATTGTCAACAGTATTGAAACATTAATAAATAATATAGTAATATTTGTAAGCAGCAGAAATTATTCAGCAATAGAAGATTGTATGTAAATGTATTTGTATTACTGCACCTTGTCTGTCAAAACCTAACAAAATAATGCAAAAAGTTGTTGTACCTAAAAAGGTTTGGGTTATTTGAAGCTAATGCACCTGCAGCATTCTTGCTGTTCTGAATTCTTAATCTAAAAGTGAGTGAACGTATAGTATCTTCGGATAAAAGATTTAGTAAAACAAAATGTAACATGATGTATAGGACCACATCATGCAAAATGACATTACATTACATTAATTGACGCTTTAGTTCAAAGCGACTTACAATAAGTCAAAAAACCATGAAGAATCAAACTCCGAACAACAAGGAAAGTGAAGATATATTCACTTCAAGCAAGATCATATCATATTAATTGCTGGTGAATTAGTTACAAGACCTTTTTTCCCAGAAATAATTTAATTGCTAAGGTACAGTCGAAATAGATGTGTTTCAGTTTGCGACGGAATATATGCAGAGTTTCTGCTGTCCTGATGTCAATGGGGAGCTCATTCCACCATTTAGGAGCCAGGATAGCAAACAGGCATGATTTTGAGGGGTACCTGGGTCCCACTCGCAGTGATGGAGTAGCAAGCCGATTGGCTGACGGCAAGCATAGTGCATGTGCTAGAGTACATGGTTTAACCAAGGCCTGGATGTAGAAAGAAGCTGTTCCCTTCACAGCTCTGTAGGCCAGCACCTGTGTCTTGAAGCGGATTCTTGCATCCACTGGCAGCCAGTGGAGGGAGCAAAGGAGTGGTGTAGTTTAGAGTGCTTTACATGTAAAAAAAGAAATATTGCAGATAAATATAGATATATCCATACACCGATTCCCTGATGGAATACTACTCTGATAGATAACCTTGATAACAGCAATCAATTAATATTAGAAGCTCTGCCAGAGTGATATAAAGATGCATAACACGCTCTCTCTACTGCAGATACCTGTTCAACTGTGGAGAAGGAACACAGAGACTGATGCAGGAACACAAGTAAGTAACACATTTTATACTTTCCATAGGTTAAACAGATGTTGTTTATCTAAGTAAGTCTGATGGGTGAGGTCAAACATAGTAAATATTGTTGTGTTTTCCTCTGACAGACTGAAAGCTGCTCGACTGGACAACATCTTCCTCACCAGGATGAGCTGGGAGAATGTGGGGGGGTTATCAGGTCAGTACCAGCCCTAAGCCTTACAGAGCTTTAGAGTGACTTTTTTTTTTCATCCATCTTGCATGTTACTTTACTCTACACTTACTTTACACCAAACATTCATAATGAATGATTATGTTTGTACTGCTTGATGTGTGGATAAGCAACTTGAAGAGCAACACACAATTGCAAAAGTTTGACCTTTTTATAGTAATATTCTTTAAAAAAGTATTTTGCGGTTTCAATTAATGCAAGCAAATTAATACCTCTAATTGAATGCTTATTTTAATCACTTTAATCTTACATTTTAATTTATTCAGATATTATGTCTTGCATGTGCATTATGACATTGAAAAAAGATTTTCTTGAGTAATCGTGTGGTCTATTAAATGTGTCAGAAAATATTGAAAAGTGTGCATCCCAGTTACAATACATTATGGAACCGAGGAAAGCAGGGACATTCAATATTGGAAAAAAACGTGTTATATTTGCAGCGAGTTAAACTTTGAACCCTTTATCAAAACAATTATTGTTTACAGTTGCACCTCTATAGTGTAAAGGATTTCCTATTCCTGTTTTGAGTGATGAAGACACATCAGAGACTGAACATTTTAATTCAATGTTTTTCTTTCCGCTGCAGGGATGATATTGACTCTAAAGGACACAGGTGTGCCAGAGTGTGTTCTCTCTGGACCTCCACAGCTGGTGAGAAACTCAACCCTGCAGTATGTAGGGCTGAGAAATATGAATAAATCATATATCAAAAAATGTATGACCAAATACCTCAATATCCAAATTGTAACCATACTAATTCACACATTTTGATAAATAATCATGCATCTTCTTCGCTGCCTTTTTCCGTCACAGGAGAACTATGTGAAAGCCATCAAGTCGTTTTCTGGACCACTGGAGGACATCAAGCTGTGTATGTTACATTTCCAAACTTATTAGCGTTATTTATTATCATGTGAGTCCTGTTTGATGTTAACGGTATCATACACTCCTAGCTGTGCGACCGTACACCGAAGAGATGTACACGGATGAAACGATGACCGTTTATCAAGTGCCAATATTTGGTGAGTCCTTCCTGATCCTTTTGATGTTCACTCACACTTCCTCTGAAGTGCTTTTGGGTTTGCTGCTAACCCGTTCCTGTCTTCACTCTGCAGCGCAGTTGAAGGGTGACGACAGATCGCTCTCCCCCAAATCGGGGAGGAGCAGCCCGTCCCACAGCCCTCCCTCCCCCAGGAGAGACGACTCCTACAGCAATAGCCGTGGAGATAGTCCAGGTGAGGCCAGGAGACTAAAACGCTAACATTAGCATGCTAAAGTATGGATGTTTTGCAGGTATATTGTTTAACGATTATGTTAGCCTATTAGCAGTGAACACAAATACAGCTGAGGCTGATACCTCATTTCATTTCAAACCTTTATTTATACAGATAAATCCCATTGATCTCTTTTTCAAGGGAGACCTGCTGAAGTAGTTCCACATGAAACATAAAAACATAAATAGAACAACAAAAGGACATCATACAGCATCATTTACATAATTATCCACATAAACAGGTACCAATAGCTTCCGATTGAGTAGCATCCAACCGAGCTTTAAAAACATTTAGTGGCACCAGATTGTTCAGTTTCCATTTAATTTGCAGACTATTCCAAGACAGAGGAGCTGCGCATCTAAAAGCTGTCTTCCCTAAGACAGTCCTAGCAGTTGGCACATTTAATAAAACCACAGCATTCGATCTCAGGCTGTAGCCACTTACAATTTTCCGTGAGATCAGGGAGCAGATATAAGATGGAAGTTTCCCTAACATGGCTTTATATATAAAAATGTACCAGTGACTGAGCCTCCGTACAGTTAGTGAAAGCAAACCAGCCCTTGCATACAGGGTACAGTGATGGGTTAATGCTTTACAGTTTGTCACAAATCTTAGTGCGCTGTGATACGCAGCATCTAACTTGACCAGGCAATTGGCAGGTGCATTCATATAAATCAGATCACCATAGTCCAGCACAGGTAAAAAGGTCACAGTGACTAGCCTTTTCCTGGCCTCAAGCGAGAAACAGGACTTGTTCCTGTAGAACAGTGATCACCAACTGGCGGCCCGCGGGCCACATCCGGCCCGCCAGACATTCTCATCCGGCCCGCACGACGGGGGTGACTGTGGCGTTGGCGGAGTGGTTACTGCGTTCGCCTCCCACCCATTTTTTTTTTTACAACGTCTCGTGAGTAAGGTGCAGTACCGGAGTCCAACAGAGAGGCAGCAGCTGCGGGTCAGTAGACTGCATACTGCGAAACCTTCCCTGCCTTGAACAACAATTGATCCTTCGTTGTGAAGAGTCTGGTTAATGCGGTCCGCACCACAGCAGTAGCCCCGCTGCGACAGAGTCCAACAGAGAGGCAGGAGCTGCGGGACAGTAGCCTAGAAGCAGGGTTGGGTTGTAACGGAATACATGTAACGGCGTTACGTAATCAGAATACAAAAATCAAGTAGGCTAACTGAATTCAGCTGGCGTTACATTTGAAAAACGAGTAATCTGATTACAGTTACTTTCGTAAACCTGAAGTGAATACATTTTGGAATACTTTTTAGAATTATTGGTGGAAAAGTTTCCTCACAAAATATAATATTCATTACCGGCAGAGCTGTGTGCACACTGCACAGCGCTGCATGTCTGTGAGCGAGAGAGAGATGCAGAGTGTCGATTTTATTTGGTCTGATATCGGGCTAGTAAAGGGCTGCAACCAACAATTATTACATTATTGTCTTATTGTACTACTTCTAAACAACTTGACATTTAAAATAAACGTTAGCCTCTGCACTTTGCTTTGTTGTTTTGTTAATCAATGTTTCAAATGCTGGAAATGAGGCATCGTCATTTCCTGTAATTCATGATGTGAGCAAGGTGCTATCATAGAAGACATGAGTCATAACATAAAGCCCACCAATGGATAACGAAAACTCATTGCCAACATCTTTGATAATCGATGAGTTGATGTTGCAGCCCTAGTATAATAGGAAGTCTCAAATCATTAATTGGATGACGCTGTTGTCCCACAATGCAATGCAGGGTGGGAATAAATAAGCTGAATTCAGCTGGAATGAACTGATATTTCAGTGATATCAGTGATGTGTGACTTTTGTTTCTTCTAATGTCTTGTAGGTGAAAGACGAAAAGCCACTAGAGACAAGTCTTTGGTTGTTTGCTACGTCTGCAAGGTAGGAAACTTCAGAAATGATGTGTGAAGTTCACAGCAGGGAACATTGTATCTGACATTCTCCTTTCCATCCACAGCTTCACCCAAAGAAAGGAAACTTCTTAGTCGCTCAAGCCAGGGAGCTGGGTTTGCCTGTGTGAGTGGACTTTAAAAAAAATACAAAGTCAACAGAACAGATGATTGATCTGTTAATAAGGGTACTATGCAAACATATGGGTGCATTTTCACTGATTTGATTTATTTCAATATTAACAAAAGCTATAAATACAAACAGCTTGAACCCAGTGGATAGCAATCAGATCTTACTTCATTTAAACACTAATATTAATAATAATAACAACAACACACTTGTTAACAGCTGTTTAGAATTTAATCATGACACACTTATTTTTGTTTTATGATTTTGAAATTGTCAAACTGAACAATACTTAATATTATTATTATTTACCATAGCACTAAATATTTGTATAGCCACCATTTTTGATTAATCCATTCATGACTACAAATTATAAATGTCGTATTCATCTGCTGACTTTTTTTTACATTAATCAATTAACTGTTTGATGCATGAAATGTCAGAAATTGCCCAGTTACCTATACAAAACTCACATATTTAATTTCTGATCTTGTAAAACAGAAACAAAGTTATATCATTTAAAATCCTGTACAATAATTCTGTATTTCACAAAGTTTTTAAATAACTATTATGAAACCTTTTTTCCCCACAGTGGCACATCAGTGATTGGTCCTCTCATAGCGTCTTTGAAGTGCGGAAAAAGCGTCATGTACGAAGGCAAAGAGGTGCTGTATACAGATGCTCTGTCTGATATGAAATACAATGTTTTATCCTGTATCTATAAACTATTTCGGGTCACTTATTCCTCTCTGTTGTCTTTAGATCCAGCCGGAGCAGGTCTGCACTCCTGCTGACCCAGGACCGACCTTTATTATCATCGAGTGTCCGTCTGAGGACTTCATCGAGGCGGTTTGCTCCAATCAGCAGATGAGAAGGTTATAATCAGTCATATTTATTTTGAAAACTCAGTAATGCTCCTTTCTTTATGTGAAATAAAAGTATTTAAATATTGTCTCTAGATACCAGACAGGAGGGACAGAGGACTCTGCAGTGATGGTCGTCCACATGACTCCAGAATGTGTTTTGAAAACAGATCAATACAGGAAGTGGATGGAGAGGTTTGTGATGCCGCACTATAAAGCCAGACTCTATTAAGCTGTTGTGCTTTTTTTTAACATTCAGTTAAGGCGAGATAATAAAAACCCATTATGGTGCACTTTTACATTTTGACCGTTTCTGCTTCCATGACATGTTTTTATTTCAGACTAGTTGAATATCTAAACTATGTGTTTGTAGATTTCTACTAAATTCATTAAACGTTTGCACAATTAGCATATTAAACTCGTATTATTGTATTACAGGTTATGAACTGGGGACATTTCTTGAAGATATATAACTCCATTTACCTTGAGGGTCTTGCAAATTGTAGGAATTTCACAAATCATATCTTTGAAGGCAGTCTAAACTCTTAATAGTTTAACTCTAATATGTCAGCAAATTTGCAAATTTAACTAGAATGTTGAACCTGACTTTATCCAATGTTCACATTTCTGTTTGAGCTTGATTTTAGTATTTAAAATAATATTTTAAAAATATTGTTGTACAAAGAAAAGTGTCTGAATGTAAGTCATTAATTAGGGAAGTTCATGGAGATATCTATTAGTTTTAAAAGTACCCCCCCCCCCCTTTAACAGTTTCCTGTGTTTCTGCAGATTCCCCTCCACCACTGAACATCTGATCCTTAATGAACACAATTGCACGGTCCACAACGTTAGAAGTGTCAAAATCCAAGCCCAGCTGAACATGATCCACCCGGAGATCTTTCCAGAGCTCAAGACTTTCAAAACAAAGGTAACACAAAACAATACGCATCGTTTTATTACGCAGAAATTAGTGGGCATTTATCAAGATTCACTGTTTCCAGCTTCTCTAATATTTGCATTAACTTATTTTCTGTGTTTTATACCTTTTTATAGGTAATTTAGTATTGGACAAAAAAATAAGAATATACAAACCATAAAGGATAAAAAAAAAAATATTTGGAAATGTCTCCATGGAGTCTAATAACGGGGGTTACGTATTGTAACTCTAGTTATATAAGCACAGGCGGAGCCCTCTACTGGACTCTATGGGTACTACTTAAGCGTCTTTGAGTTGTGAAAAGCGCTATATAAATAAAATGCATTATTATTATTATTACTCTCATCAATGGTACGCGAGCGTTCACACACTGAAGTTGTATAAACGTAGCTGGCCAATCAGGGCGAGCCTACCTGAATGCGTGCGCAGACACACAGTATATAAGCCGGCCACGCCTCCTGACTGTCATCCTACACCCTCTTCAGCGAGCAGAGCCTAATTGGTCTGAATAAGCTCATAGCTCCACCCTACAGGTGCCAGCGCAAGTGACTAACACTGCACACTACGTTTCCCAGGTCCATAGAGTGTGCATGGACGATAGTGGGGAAGGCTCTCCCCACCATGGGGTTTACTGCGCACCATGTTTCCCGGGTCCCTAAGGAGCATGGGAAAACATAAGTGCATTATGTCTAGGGGGAAGGGGTCAGATACCTACTGACCTACAGCCCCCCTCCCTCACCAGTCCTGTGTTGCCCCAGCAAGCACAGACGATGAAAAGGAGCCAGACATGTCCAAAAGATAAAACCTTATGAAGGGGCCTGGCGTAGACCAAGACGCCACCATGCATATGTCCTCCACACTCACGCCAATCAAAAAGGCTGTTGATACAGCCATACCACGTGTAGAGTGTGCATGGACCACAGTGGGGAAGGCTCTCCCCGCCTGTCCATAGGCATGTGAAATGCTGTCCTGTCAGACGTTTCTTGGGCAGAGCTTTACCGGCCACACCATCACCAAAGCACACAAACAGCTGTTCAGTGCGCCTAATGGAAGCCGTGCGCCCTACATAACATGACAGCGCACGCACCAGGCAGAGGAGGTGCAATTTAGCCTCCCTGTCCCCAATATGGGGTGGAAGACTAAAGCCGTCTAACTGTATAGCCCTCAACCTGAACGAACTCCTTAGGTTCTTGGGAACAAAGGAAGGGTTCGGTCTGAGTGTCTCCCCACTACGGTCACCCCGAATCAAAAGGCAACTTGGGTGCACAACCATAGCGGTCAGCTCGCACACTGCAAGGCTAATCACCAGGGGGAAGTCCTGGCGGACAGACCTGGGCGGTGGACTTCCATGGACGCCGGACCCGGAAGTGCCCGACAACGAGAAGTACTCGTCATCCTCCTCCCCGGCAAACAGAGCCATCCGCCCCGCTGGAATGGCGAACGTGAATGGCACCGCCTCGGCCATATCCTGGTCCCCCAAACACTCGAAGCAGAGGTGGTGGAGATCGGCGCCCGCTATTAAGCCAGGCCAAGAAGGACAGGCCCGGGTCTCTAGACATGGCGACTCCATGAGTCTTCTTCTTTGAAATGTTTTACTTTTCTCTGTCAGGTGTTGTCCTGCTCGCTGAAGAGAAAAGGATGACAGTCAGGAGGCGTGGCTGCGTTATATACTGTGTGCCTGCGCGCGCATTCAGGTAGGCTCGCCCTGATTGGCCGGCTACGTTTATACAACTTCAATGTGTGAACGCTCGCGTGTCATTAATGAGAGTAGTACCCATAGAGCCCAGTAGAGGGCGGAGCCTGTGTGAGATATAACTTCTGCATTTTATTATTTTCTGCCATTTTTTCAAGACATTGATTGGAAAATAATTGGTAGAGTAAGATGTATCCCTTTTTAGTGTTCTGCTGAACTGTCTGTAAAGCGCAATTTGAGGAACTACAATTATTTAAAAACGTGTTGAACTCAACTTAACCGATTGGAGCCATCTCTCCCTCTCGGTTTAGGTATGTTATTTGAAATAGATGTAGCTTTGTCTACATATGAGTTTTTGTCAATTGGTAAAAGGGAGTGATGTTATTTGATAATTAAAGGAATGCTTGATTGCAGCTATAATACATTTAAGTCACGGTGAAAATTATTTATATAAAATGACCCAAAAATTATGATGATGATATTTTTACTTCAGCAAAATCTGCTCTCATTTGAAAATAAATAGTATCATATTTTAGGTTTTGACCTTTGTCAATATTTAATTTCTTTTATCTCAGTTTTGTTATGGAAATGGGTTTTTCAATGGCTGATGGCAATATTCAGAGAGGAGTGTTATTTATTTTGCTCATATTATTAATAATACTAAATGTCACAAAATTGCTGCAGTTAAATAAACATTCATTTAGGAGGTTATCGTCTCTGTCTGCTTCAATAGCTCTTCACTTAATTTGCATTAATGCACTTTTTTTTAAATGTATCAACTGAATAGTTTTCTGCACATCATCAAAAAAGATTGTAAACAATGAACAACCTATTTAGGCAAACTAAATATTTTAAGTGTTCTTAGCAACAGCATTTATCAAAATAGCCGAAATACTAATAAATATATATAAAGTTTCAGGACAGGATTTACTGCAGTGGCTTTCGATAACTATATTCCCTATGGCTTTGAAAGCAGTCTTCACAAAGAGATAACTCAAGTATGGTCCATAAAAAGTAGTTTATAAGAAACATGAAAAGCTTTGGTCTCATCCCCAGGAGGCCGAGGCAGCGCTGCACGTCTCCAGCGTCAGAGCCCAGTGTCTGCTCAAGTTCCAGCTCAGACCCGTAATGGGGTGGCAAAGGTCAGTCTGTCCTTCAATCCCCCCCAATTTAGCCGACATTACTCTGCTGCCTTGTCACAGAAAACAATCTGCAATGGACCATTGCACTCGGCCGCTCTCTTCTTCTTTCTTCTTCACCTCGTCTTACAAGTGTCAGTGTTTTCTCCTCGCTGTTTCTGTCAAGTTCTGTAGAGGCGCATCAAGGTCAGGAAGAATCCCCTGCCAGTGTTGTTGCAGGCAGTGGTGTGTGTCTTCTTCTTCCTCCTCCTCCTCACTCTGTTTCTCATTCGTTAGAGACGCCCTCCTCTCCTGCAACACGGAGGAGTTTGTGAAAGAGGCGTCGGAGGTCCCAAACTTTCTGGAGGAAGTGGACAAGTGCAGGGAGATTTGCTCCACTGCTGCTGCTCAGCGTTCTGGTGAGTTCTCCTCTCTAAAGCCCAGAAGGGATGTTTCTTACTTCAAAGCCTGACAAACTGTTTCCTACTTTTTAAGTGGATGGTCTTGGCGGAAAAAAAGAGTTTAATCGTGTATCTTTTTCTATCTGCAGGGCAAAGAGAGAAATCCTTCGAGGTGGTTTTCTTGGGAACAGGATCCGCTCTTCCGATGAAGATCAGAAACGTCAGTGGCACTTTAGTGAATATCAGGTATTGATCACAGGTTATAAAATAATGTACTTTTAATATTTGAAACTTGGATTGCACCTTGAAATCATCCCATTATGTCCAACCTTTCATCTGGTTTATTTAAATTTGGCACAAACGTTCACTTGCCCTGACTAAAGCTATAACACGCTTCAAATTATTAGTTCTCCCACAACCTCCCTTCTCTCTTTCTCACAAACACACACCGATCAGCCGGAGTCTCAGTCCTCAGTCTTATAAAGTAGCAGCAGTCAAAACTCAGTAGTGCTTCTGCTTGTCGCTTCTGTTTTTCATTATAATGGTTCTGCATATGTGGATTTTTCAAACATGTAAAAAAGTGGCATTTTCACAAAGGAAAGGCGTACACTTTGACTGTACACACCTAACAAGTTAGTTTCCTCTTTCCACATGCAACACTATTCCACTCACTCCATTATCTGAGACATAAAGAGGCCAAAGCAGATCGAAAAGCCTATGGTTGCAGAAATAGTGCTGTAGGTAGGGATAAGGCCTTAAAGGTGACGCAATGTAATGTAATTGAATTTTTGATTTGTTTTTTATTCAAGCTTTTGAATACAAAAATGATACAATTTCCGTTGCTGGAGTAACTCCACAATGGCAGTTAAAAACAAACCCTGTCCTCATGTCTCTCTCTGTGTAGCCCGAGTCAGTCCCTGATGCTGGACTGTGGGGAGGGGACCTTCGGGCAGCTCTGCAGACATACGGAGACGCTGTGGACCAAGCTCTGTCCAAAGATCTCCACCGTCTCATCTCACACCTGCACGCCGACCAACCACACGGTAACAGCTGCGCATTAATACATGTCAGAAGGGATGATCTTAAACTGAGCGCTGTCAAAATGACAAGAGGTTCAGGCAGATCCTGCGCCTGTTGTTGTTTGTTCCAGGTACATATAAAAACCTGAACGCTGCATGTTTAGTTTTGATCAGAAAGCAGACCCGTTCCAGACTCTTGACTTGCTTCGGTGTTTAGTGATGGTCTGTCTTTTATAACCTCGGTGACCAAGTTGGAAATCTGTGTTCGCACTTCTACATCTTATCCCTTGGATTTTATATATATCTATTATGATATATAAAATCAGTCAATCATCTCTATCCTCTTAGGGGCTGCTAATGTTGCTGTATCAGAGGGAAAGAGCACTGGTATGGTAAAGGAACAAAAGCCAATTAATCCCTAAAACATGGTTTACTTCTGGTCATTTAATGTTTTTAGAATAACTTGAAACGATGTTTGTGTGCTTCAGACAGCGCTGGGGAAGCCGTTCACCCCCGTGTTCCTGGTGGCCCCGCTGCAGATCATGTACTGGCTCAACCAGTACACAACTACTGGCCAGGAGATCCTGCACCACATCAAGTATGTGCACAGGACTGACTCCAATATAAACAATATAACCTTGACCTTTTATGTTTCGAGACCATGGATGTGTGTGTCGGCAACATTTAGTTCCCATTTTTGGAAAAATGTACAAAGTTGCACCGTAACTCTGAATGACCGTAACATTTATTTTCAATTAGCATAATTTTAAAACAGTGAAATATTAACTTCAAATTTTTAAATGTTTTGTTTTTCAACACCACAACTTAGTATACAGCATCGTTGGAGGGTAGGGTTGGGAACCGAAACTCGGTTCCAGATGAGAACCGATAAGAAAATCCACAATTTCGGTTCTGCTTAACAGTTCCTAAACGCGGTAGACCCTGTATTCCACCGGGTCTGTCTGCGCCGCGGTGACCCGGTGGAATACAGGGTAAGGGCAGACTGGCCATCTGTGTGTTCTGGAGAATCACAGAACGGCTCGGTAAGCTGACGGCCGGCACCGCCCTTAATTTTTTTAAACGGCATCATGTAACTTGCGCTGACAGGCGACAGAGGTCCACAGTTGCCCCGCAGCGAGGCTCCCCCCGCCCTCCCGTAGACAGTTCACGAGCTCAGTCACTTCATAACACCAAAGATGGATCGTGGTAAACGCTCTGAAGTGAGGCTCCTCTACACTAAAAAATAAAAATACAAGGCACAGTGTAATGCCTGTTAATAGCTTGCCACAGGCATAGCTCAGTTAAAATAAAGCACAGCTATTGTGCAATACATTTGTATTGCATGTATATTTTTCATTTGTAAAAATGTCAGTTAAAGCTTAAAAGAATACATTTTTGTTATCTAAACATTGGGGGGGCTAGTGGACAATTATTAAATAACTTTAAATAATTATTTTCCCCAACACACGTTACTATGTTTAGATCAGATATGTGGGCAGGCAGTCAAGCAACGTGTAAACAAGCCTCAAGTGAGCTTGTAGTCT